TTAGGTCCTGTGTTGGTCTTGCTGTGTGGATGGTCTGGAGTTGGGGTTGTGAGACAAAGACACCAAAAGAGAAAGAGGATTTATCTCTTTTAAGAGAGTGAGGGGCCCTGATCCACTCCCTTTTACAGTTAACACGGTGCAGCATCTTATGTAAACTAGCTTTTTCACACCGTTTTGTTCACACATGCACAGCCCTTTGAGCCCTCCTCCAGGAAAGGAGTTGGAGGGGACTGAGCAGGAGTCTCAAGGTGGAGAAGGAAGTTGGCTCAGAACACACTGCCCCTCTCTTCCCATCACACCTTTCCTGTCATTGCAGTCAGAATGTCTGAGACAAAACATGCTTATATCTGGTCCTCCACAGAGGAAGGAACAGGTATTTAAAAGAAGAAACAACTAGGCTACCAAATCACTTGGAAAACAGGAATATAAACAGACTAGACTCAAAACTCTGAAATAATTCCAGAGGACTTTCCTTCAACGATGATGAAGAACTGGTTATTTTGGCTGTCTAACAAAATCAGGTTTTACTGTGTTTATATTGGCTGAATGTTACAGTCTATTATGGAGAGCATTGCAGATACAAAATGAGTTTGTTCCGGAAGCCTGGGAGTTAGAGCAGAAAGTGCAGCTGGTTAATGTGTTGTTGTGGTGAAACTGATGTGATTGCCTTTGAGTCAAGTATTTGCATATTCTACTTGGACATAAGGTCCCCGTTGAATTTAGGGTCAATAATATCTCTGTAACTGCAGGGGAAAGCATTGTCTAGGGTACCTTCTTTTTATATCGTAACTGACGTGGAAATCTGATTTTCTTTTTTGGAGCTTGATATACCAAAACTCTGGTTTTCATGTTTTCATAAGTGAAGGATGTGCTGACAAGCAATGCTACAGAGCCACATCCCAGCTGCTGATGTGCTCTGTAGGTTTTTGGTGCAGAAAGTGCACCAGAAAGTCCAGACCAATCCCAAGGTATCTTCCTGTGCTTGCAAGCAAAATTAATATGGAAATTAGGTTTCATAAAATGTGAACACTTTAGTCCATATTCCACAGTATCCACTAATTAAAATGTTTTAAAATATATGGAAAATGAAGCATGGAGATGTTAGGTGCATGTCTGTTCAGGGATTTAATCAAGATGTATCTATTTCAGTAACCCATTCCAGGAAATTAATCCAGCCTTGCCCCCCTCTGCCCACACTGTTTGTGTGAAGAGCTCCAGGCGCCTCTGATGATGCTGCATCAAAGATTTTCCACATGGGCTGGCTGCTAACTCAAAGAAGAAACTTTACCAGTCTATGTGTGCCATGAATGTTCTGACATCCCCTTGCCCTTTCTGTGCTCTCTTACTTGTTAGAAGATGACTGAGATTTTGAACAGTTGGAGAGCTGAAATTGAATCTCGAGTTTACAAATGGCTCTAGTTTGGGATTTCCAAAGGAACATGAAGTTAGGAGGCAGCCAGCTTCCACTGAAGACCATGAAATGTTCTCTTATGTGTGGTTCTGCTCCTTTACTGGCACACCCCAAAATTTTGGGTTAGGAGAGATGGCAGATACAGTGGTTTGAGCACTAGGGTGTCTTTGGGATATTAACCTTGGCCCTGTCCTCTGTACAACAATTAATTTATTTGTTTTCTTCCCACTTAAAGAGATCATTGTATGTCTTTATTTCATAAGAAGTATAGGGAGTTTTAGAGATTAAACAGCTCCTACAGGGTGATCAGAGGACTGGGGTGTCTGAGAATTCAGTCTTTGGGTTCAGTGGAACTCAGATCTGCCAGTTTCATTTTGGGTGGCTCTTTAATTGTCCTAAGTGAAGTTAAAGCACATAAACAGCATTTCCTTTATCCTGGGAATTATGAAGCAATATTGTACTGTCTATTTTATTGAGTAGGATGGTCTAAACCTGACAACAGGTGATCAGTGTGGAAATACAGGGGATTGTTCGATCTTTTCTGATTTGGTGTAGCATAAACAATTTCTAATAGAATTTTAGTTTTAACTCTGTTCTCAGCAGTGTTTCATTTGTGTACCTCATTCGTAAAAGCTTGATGCAGGGGATTTATAGAACCTCCATCCTTGAAGATACTCAAACTCAGAGCAATGTGCCCTACATTGGCCTTTTGAGGAAATGAGTGGACCAGAGCCCTCCAGAGAACCTTTCCAGCAGGAGCTGCACTCTCATTCTGTACCTTAATTGTGGTAACATTGTGGTACCACCATGTGTCTCTGCTCCTTCAGGGACAATCACACAGACATCCTGCAGTCAGAGTTCAGAGAACACTCCAGGTTCTTCCCTGTGAAAACTAAAGGCTGCCACTGGCTGAAATGAAATTCATTGGAGTGAACCTTCCCGGAAAATTTTATGGTTTTTTGAATTTGTTTCCTGTAGTTGAAAATTACTCTCTTCTAGTTTGGTTAAAATGTGAATCTAAAATGTGGATCCTAGTGCCAACAGAACACTTAACAGAGAGCAGCTGGTGTTTTTGCTGAACAGTCTATGAGCTTCTTTTCTGACACTGGGGACTTTTTGGGGCTTTATTGTAATTCCTTCTAATGAAATGGCTGAACGATTTTAGTAAGATGTAAAACACATCTTTGTGCCACCAGTCACTTTAAGAAGACCAGATTTCCTCCTAAGCAAAATTCTCTTAGGTTGCACGTGAAGTGGCAGCACACACAAGGATTGTTGTCAGGAGTGCTTCATCCCCCTGTGGCAGCAGCAGGCAGTGATGTGCAGTTGTTCAGCATCTCTGAAATACAGGATGGGCCCCTGTGCCGTTTTGCATTTCTTGCATTCCACACGAGACTCTCAGAGGTGCAAGGAATGCAGAACCAGGTCTGTCACTTACAGTACTGTGTGTGCCATCTGCCTGTGAGCTAGTGACATGATAGTTCAGTGGTTAGCAGCTAATGGATATATTATATCTGGATATTGCTGCAGATCTAGGTTCCTTGGGTTTGTTTTTTTCCAGCAGACAGAGAAATGAATAAGGTAAAAGGAACCGTCAGAGTCTCATCATTATGCAAAATATTTCAGTGCTGCAATTAACAGCAGCTATAATTTAAGCTCAGCTTTAACATCAAAGGCAGTGGGGATAGAATTAAGATTTATCGTCGTTATAATTCTGCCAAGGCTTCAGTGAGTCTGATTGCTTGGATTCCTCTTTCACATTAGCCATCTTAAATCTGTCAGCCAGCTCTCTCTTACACGCCTGGGTATGAGGGAGCTGGACTTGCCTCACGTAATCATCTTGCAATTCATGGAAATGCCAACACTGGATGTTACATAAAAGTTCCAGAAGGTTTTGTTTCTGCTCTTCTTCAAAACAGCTGCCAAATTATAATTATCATTCAGTTTCAGGGGGGAGTATTGAACTGACAGTGTGCTTGTGAGCTGGAGCCACAGCATGGTACATGGGGAAGGACACAGCTAAATGTTGGTGGGGTAATTTCCAACATGCTCAGCCAGAAATGCACAACATCTACTCAGTCTGCCGAGTTCATTTAACCATGAACCTTATTTGCTTTGTCCATTAGTGAAGACAATGGTATAACCAGCTCTAAATCCTCTAAGACACTTAGCAAAGGGAAGAGTAGTTCTTAGTAGTTTCCAGACTGAAGAAAATTGCTAATATTATGGAATATATGAATGATTGTATAATAAATGAAAGAATAGAGTATTGGCCATTATTGAGCAATGCTACAGAGATCTGAGGTAATCAAACAGCCAGACTGGCTGTTGTCTCTTCTGGAGGAAACAGAAATTCACACATGTGGCAGAGTATTATTGTTCTGTACATATGAAGAGACAATAAGCAACATGCTCATGATTCATGGAAAAACCTCCAGGCCCATATTGTCAGGGGACTGTGACTTGTGACAGTGTCAGGGTTGGGATTAGACCCTTCTCCTCTATCTCACAGCTGCCTTAGTTTCATGAAAGATAAATCTTCTTAAGGGAGAGTTACATTTTAGGCCATAAACACTTTCTGACGATACGTGCTGTAACCTAGTACTTTATTTGTAAAATTACCCACAAACTTATTCTATGCTTTCAGCTATGTGTCAACTCCTCTTCAATTTTTTTCTCATGTTCTCAGGCTTGGGACTTAATATGAATTATTTTTAGCTATCTTGTTAGCATTGCCTTTCCTCAAGGATCAGAGAATTAAGCAGCAATAAACCTCAATGAAATCAGTACAATTAAGCCTTAAAAGATATAATACTGTTTAAGATAATCAAAACTGTATGTGGTGACTCAGCATGCTCAAGTGTGAGGATGAAGAACCTAAACAAAATTCAACAAAGCAGATTTTTCCCCCAAGTTTCTTTTGGTTTGGTTGGTTTTTTAATGGTTTTCTTCCCATTTCCAGCCACAATTTCAGCATTATGAGTGGTTGAAAAATCACGAAGTGCCTTCGTTACAATGGACATGTAACAATACCACGTGACCAAAACATTGAAGGATTTCTCAGCAATCCAGTGTGTGTGAACTTGCTGTGTGGGGAACTGTTAATGCCTGAAACAATATAAAAATGTACAAACACATGCTGAGTGCGAAGTGCTTGTTGGACGAGGTAATTGGAAGAATCAGTCCAAGGTTGCCTTTGGTCTAATGCTGTTTATGCCTTCACCAGAGACTGGAATTCTGTCAAGGAAGAAAATGAGAAAGGCAGGGAATAAAACTAGATGAAAGTGGGTTTTAACATCTTTAGAAAAGATAGATAAAAATGACTTCAACTCTTAGCCATGGAGGGCTCCCAAAGTTATTATAACACTGCACAAGCTACTGCTAAACTGAGATTCTGGGGGCGGAACAGATTTTTCACTCCTTAGAAAGAGTAAGCGCAGAGAGGAGGAGCGAGCCTGGAAATTCGTATTTGTGGGAAATCCTGAGTTAAAGGTAAACTATCTTTACCTCACTACAAACTCTGATAATAGCCAAGTAAGCAGAGGGTGAAGAGCCTCCGTGTGAGGGTTTTTTTGGGGTTTTGTTATTCCAAAGAAAACATAGGAGTAGTGATGTAATTTCAGAACGGGAGAGTCAATGGTTAAGGGCTAAGATCTGCATAATATAATGCCCTATTTGAGGCTCATAAACAGAAGCTGCAAAAGCTGCTGCTGAAGCAAATTCCTCCAACAGTGTATCTCTCTCTCCTCCCAAACTCTGGCTAAGATTAGCACGTGTGTCTGTTAGAGTTATTGCCACCTGTCCTAGTTCAGCTGAGACAGCCTTGTTTTCAGTGACTTCATCTCTAATATATGATGCATAATGTCCTATTTTTCTCTGCTGCAATTTCTAAAAGAAATATCCTGTCTAGTTCACATCACCCCTGTGAGGTTTTCTTCAGGAACTGGGTTTAGGTACTCGTGGAAGGACTGCCCAGTGCAATGTGCACTTATCAGACCATTCTCCAGCACAGAATCCTGTGCTGCATTGCAGCAGTTGTAGCCCTGAGAAACAATACCAGTCTTACTCACAGTACTGAATTAACCACTCGGTAATACTGGGCAATCTTCGATAGTGGTAGATGAAGAAACAAGTTTATGTAGGTGGAAGTGTGTTTAAAAATGAAAGTGTTAGTTGGCCAGAAGTACAGAGCAGCCACTGCCAAAATGGAAATTCAGACAAGTTTAGGTGTTCAGGATGTTTTAAGAACTGGCGCATTGAGTCTATGGATCAGACACAAGGCAGGATTAACCCCAAAGCTGTTATTATTGGTTGGAAAACCAACATCTACATTGGGCCTAAATATTCTGTTGCTGCAACAGAGACCAGATGGGAATAAAGCTATGAAAATAAACGAGTATTTGCTTGTATAACAAATTGCAGCAGAAAGTACCAGGCAAATGTACTCAGATGTGTTCTTCAAGCTGCAATTTAAATGCAGCCTGAAGTGCTGCATTTTAAACCACAAATTTTAGCAAGTTTCCAAAAGTCTTACCTTCCACTCCAATTTTGCCATCACCGTCAGTGTCACCTGCAGCCAGAAAAGCCTTGGTCTCCGCCGAGGTGAGAGCTCTGGCGCTCGAGGAGAAATTCTTCAGAAACAGCCTGAAACAGAGCAGGGTGGAAGTGCTGTGCTTGAGTTTTATTCTCTGAAATGCCCCATAAGGGAATGCCTGCTCTTATTGTCTGAGGAAACACACACAGATTCAAGGAAAGACGAGGGATTGTGATTTATTTTTAAAACAACAGCAAGTTTCAAGCGAGTTCACAGGTTTACACTGTTCAAAGAAATAGAGCAGCTGAACAGTACTTACTGCAGCTCCTCTTCTTCAATGAAACCACTCTTGTCCTGATCCAGGATTCCAAAAACCTTCTTTATCTGATCAGGAGTTTTGCTGGATAAACCAACCATGGAGAAGAAAGACTTGTAGTTGAAGGAATCATCAGCTGGAAGAAACAGAAGTTGTTACATATTTTCCCTTGAAGTTGCTACTTCTGTATTATTCCTTGTGAATATGTATGTCTTTTCTTAAGCATCAGCCTGCTCCTCTTTCTCTTGTTCCCCACTGTTGCAAAAGAGCAGATACAGTGGATAATTTCCCTTTTTAATCACTCTGTGCCTGTGGTCATATATCCTTTCAGCCAGTTTGAAGTTTTCCACTCCAATGCACTTTCTCCTAACTCAGGATTTATGCAATGTGTCACATGCAATTAATGATAAATATTTAGAGGGTGCAACTGTGGCTTGCAAAGCAACTCCTGTACTTTTTATTTTGTTTTCACTGTGACCTTACTTATTCTTATTAACAAATTCTTGTTATCAGAATTTGATAGAAAAGTAAGTAACTCACAGTCAAACCAGCTCTTTGGAAAATTGGCTTGAGCTTACTGAGCAGCTCTTAAGAGAACTGAGACTGGTCATTGCTTCACAAATGACACTTTGATTCTGCAGGCTGAGGCTTTGTTTGAAAATCTGAAGGAAAAGGCTAACTATTTAAATAGAAGTCTTTAACAGGTTTAAATACTGACAGTTTAACACTAAGACAGCCCTTGCTGAAATTGTGGCCCTTTAATTGCTGCTCACCAATTGTGAGACTTTGTGAATTTAAGGGGCTAAACTGTAATGTAGCCTAGAAAGAGATCTCACAGGGAAGGAATCTAAGGGGAAAATGATAGGCATGTCATCTTAAGACATAAAAATGATATGCATCTTCTGTCTGCAGAGCGACCATTCCTTACCCTGGCAGCTGGAGAGAGCAGATTCAATATCTTTAGCAGAAAGGATGTCAGTGATGGCCATTGTTGAACTGTAAAATAAATTAAATGTGAGCTACTTAGTCATTAAAATGACTTCTCTACCTCTTTCATGACTCTATTTGAAGTTGCTGCTGTGACAGTATATGATAGGGGAGACATTATTCATCTAATGGTAAGTGGAGCATAGTGGAACAGATGTCTGCAGCAGGTGCTTCCAGGGAGAGCTGGGTAATGAGGCAGGAATTCTGCATGCAGGAGTGTGGGGATTCAGGAGGATCTGATGCCTGTGCTGAGCGGGGAGAGCGAATCAAAGGTGTCTTGCACCACAAAACTTCATGACTTCTGTGTGGCTTTTCCTGGAGGTGGATTATTACCCAAATCAAACCAGCATATATTTACAGCATACATAAAAGATAAGGCTTGGATTGTCCCGTGGAACTGTGTCTGGAATAAGTGTAATTGAAATTTCAAAAATCTGGTATTATTATCAATAGAGGTAATGATCTTCACAAAGAATTAAAATATTAGTGTAGAGTTAGTAATTTTTCTTGTTTCAAGGAGATGTACATTTGGAGAGTAAGTTCCTCCTCTTTTTAGCTGCAGCAGTAAATGTGTCTTGCTGGGCTGCTGTGCCACTAAAAGGCTACACTGCCTGAGATCTTCAGAAAAAGTATATTCTGAATTTTTTTTCATTCCATACAGGCAATAATAAACCAGATTTTTATCCAGATTTTGGCATTTCAGTATATTGCTGTGCTTAGTACAGAAGTATTGAGACTTAATATTCATTCTTAGTAGGGGAAGTGTTTTCTTCTGATACAGCAGCATTTCGTTTGAGAAAAGAGACTCTGTCCCACTCAGCCACAAACAGCTGCAATAGTTTGCCAATGTAACATATATCACTTAACCAAATGCTCCAATGCCTGAATTTCTGATCAGTTTTTAGTATGAACATAGCATCAATGCATTTACAGTTTGTTAACATACCAGTGCAGACTGGGCACAGTTTAAAACTTTCATCATTATTGTTAGTACATTCTTGTTAATGCAGGAACGGGAACCAAAGCACAGAAAAGTTATTCTTGAAAGCCACAAGAGAATAGAAATATCTTTTCATTAATCCCTAAGTGGTCTTCAACAGCATCATTCTCCCTGTCTAAGCACAGAAAGCAGCATTCATAAGAAGGAATCCACTGCTGATACCCATTTACACACAGGTCTACACACAGGTTTAAAGTTTCCCTAGGACTTGGATTGGCGCCTCTGTACCTGTTGGTTTGCAGCAGAAAAAATTGTAAATCATTACAGTCCCTTTCTGAATATCCCAGAAGGTGTAAGAAAGCAATGGGACAAACTCCCACTGATACCAATGGGTACTTTTCCAGCTCAGGCTGAGTTGCTTTTGTTTTGCCAGCAATTATTTTGTCCCAGTGGCTTTTTGTGCAAAGTACTTCCCACTCCCAGCACTAGGCAAGATAATTTGGAGCTCAGCTCATTCGCCTAATTCTCACTGTTGACAGGGTTAAAAACAGGGAAGAGTTGAAGGAAAACTTAAAAATTGCAGCATTTTTTACAAGGGACATCATTCCTGTCTTGTTCCATCCCGTGATCCAAATGCTGATTCTATTCTATGTTAAGCTTGTAAAGATACAGCATACTGGAAGCTGAGATCAGATATTTTAATTGCACAGGCACTTTCTTTTTAGGGAGCATTTTGCTTTTGTGTTTCTTTTTCTGAAAGCAGAGGATCTAATCAGCTTACCTTTGTGGTCTTCTTGGCTGGCTAAGGAAGCAATCAGGTTGGGAGGAAGGTACTTGCTGTGTGCCTCCAGCAGAGCTGAGCTTGCATATATATACTTTAAGTTGTATACCATATACAGATTTTAGATTTCAGCGTCACGAAGGGGGAATGGTGTCAAATGAACTTGCCGAACTAATCATCTTGCACTATTTTTATCTCAAGAGAATACATATGATATTTGCAAACGAAACAAGATAAGTGTCCAGATAGGCGAAAAGAACAGAGTCATGTTCAATTTCTTCTGATTTAAGCAGAAAACACCAACTTCTCTGTAGGATGTACAGCAAGGAAAAAAGTCCCCAGTATCTGATATGTTTGATTTGAGGAGTCAGAAGAAATGAAGCACTACTGACTTCTGAAGAGATGTCATTGATGAATGTTTAAATGTGCTAACTTGTTATCTTATCTGCAGACACTATGTGTGATAGAGTTTCATCATTAGAGCACTAAACAAAAACAATTAAAAGTATCCTGTTCAAATATTGTTTGGTAGCAAACCATTTAGGGAAAGGAATAACTGTGTTGCCTCCCAGAATGTCTGATCTATTGTTTTGAGAAAAACCACCACACCGAATTTGTTGCTACAGGAGGTAAAATAATATTATGTCAATCCCTGGGAACAGTTGGCTGGGGGAGGGAATTTCATCTGCTGTTTCCAGAGAAAATCTTACAATTCTGCAAGGTTCTGACAACCTGTTTAGTCGGGTGTGTATGAAGCAAAGGGGTTGTGATCTACCCAGCTGTCTCTGAGACAGAACTCCCTGAGCCCTACATGAAAGATCTTTGCTTTCAGACTAGAGAGAAAAATCTTAATAGCAACATCACTGCCGAGAACAATATGTGAAGTTGTTTTGCAGTTTTGCGTGCTGCCTTTGATCTCTTTTAGATAAGTGATTATTTTTTCAAGTTGTCTGGCCAGTGCTGTTTCCAAGTGTTCCTTTGTGCTAGTTGCTTTCTTCATAGAATTAACCTGATCATCTCAATTTTCTTTCACGAATGTTGTAGCCTAAGTGGGTGAGGAGCCTGTCAGCTTGGATCTCACTTGTGGCTTGAGGCAGCAGAACAGTGAAAGACAAGTCATATGGATGACAGCACAAGGGATCATTATAGCCAGGATTAAGGGATGGCAAGGGATGACAGTGCAATTGGCATCACAGCTTGAGATGGTGGCACAGTAAGAGGTGACGGTGCAGACACTGTCTTAATGTCAGAGAGACCATCAAGGTATCTTTTTTCCAAAGCACTTACCGTAAGATGGAAGGCAAACCTAGCCAGTCACTGAAGCCAACCAGTAAGAAATCAAAGTGTCAGACAGAGAAGTGTCAAATGGGGGGCACTTATGAGACCTTAGTGCATCCAACACCACCAGCAGCTCCTGTAAAGGCAACAAAAGACTCTTGCAAAAGATGCTGTGTGTGTGTGAGGTTATTTCACTTTTACAGCACATAAGCATGAAAAAATTTATTGCTAAAAGGGTTTTCTTTTCTTTTTGCAAACTTTGCATGTCTGTCCTCCATGAAAAAGTTTTGGACACAGATAATTCTTGTGCAGGACAGAATCATTGGTTAAGAATGGCTGTGGAAGACTTCAGCTTTCCCAGTTTTCTGAATGGGTTCTTGACCAGCTGCCGCTGAAGAACTTCCAGAAGAATTTGATGGATAGATATTTAATACCAGCCCTTGTTGTCACTGGTGACATCTGGTAGAAGGGATACAAATACCACTTTCCCCCCTCAAACTCTTCTAAGAAATTACTTTTATTCTAAATGGGAAAAAAATTCCTCTCCCTTTCACACACACCACCCTTTTCTCCCCCTCCAATGCGGAAAATTGTCTACATAGTGCCAACAACTGATGTGCAGGACATAGGGTGTCCAGCATAAAAACTGATGGCATGATATGACCTAATGAAGCTAAGTTAAGAGGAAGGCCAAATTCTGCTGAAACTCTTGGACTGCAGGAGTCTACATGGGAATTTGGTCTCTGGTGTCTGTTTCAGAGAATGCATTTGATTTTAGATGCAAAGGCTTCTCATTTTGCCCAGAGCTAATTCCACATATGTTAACCCCTCGCCCCCACTCTTCCCTTTAAAAATAGCATTGATTGCTGTTATTTCCCTTAATGCCTGTGGACTGTTGCCATTAGTTTGAACTTTAGTATGTGAAGCACAGTAGGATGAAGTCTTTAAAGTGTGCTTTGTTTTCTGAGAGGCTTCAACAAGGTGATTCCTTCTGCGCCCTGAGTTTTTAAGGGTAAAGCATGCACGTCAGGTGATTTATGGCTTTAGTCTGTTGAGCTGATTCAGACTCCAGCAGATTTTGGAGCCACTTTTGCAGTGAGATTGGAGGCACTAGAGACCCAGAACATGTGCACTGATGAAATGCAGAGGGATCATGTAACTCTATTTACAACCAGCCTCCAACAACCATTTTATTTTCAAGCCCTACGTTAGAGATAGCAAAAACATCTGTCTGGGCACTTTTACTTTCTTAAATCAAATACCATTAGTAACTTTCCAGCTGCCATCCAGCTTGGCAGGGAGAGGAACTGGGGAAACATGAAAAGGCAGGGAGAAAATATCCCTTTCAGGCTGTCAGGTTACCACTAAAAGCAGTTTTAAACCCTGGGACTTGAGCATTTCCCTTTGCTCAAGTCTCATTGCCTTTGGGAGGATTTGAATGGAGTTGGTTTATTCTTCCCATTTTCAATCTTAATTCTTCTAACACCTGAAATTCCCTCTCAGGGTTGAAAAACTGTGTTTTAGGTCAGCATAAGCTCTGTGATTGTTCTATAATCTAATCTGGTCAGTCTTTGAGTGCTGATACGAATTATGTGCAACAGAATAACAAAAGTGCAGCAAACAGTGACGAATGCCTGGTTGAACCTAAATAAGTGTGATGTGTTGCCCTTTTCTGTGCCTGTGGTAATTTCCCCTGGATGCTTCTGATAGTGATATCCATAGTTACAAGTCAAGGAGCAGAAATCACCTTATATAACATGTTTAACCTATTGTTCAATGACATGTGACTAGGGAAAGTGGAGTATTCATTCAGCCTGTAATTTGCTTTGGGAATGCATGAGCTGAAAGAAATGTATGAATGTAGTTTAGTGTAGTTGTATTAATGCATCATGCTCCAGTCACTTGAGGAATGGAACTCTTGGAGTGATCTGGAAATATTTGTGAGTCATTTTAGGTTTATGTTACTCAGTCTAATATCTGTAGACCACCAGTAAAGTGCTGGAAAAAAAGCAGAATGCTGAACCAGAGGTAGATTTTCAGAGATTCTGAAAATTTGCAAAGTAGCTTATCAGCTTCAAGTGCCCTTTAAAGTCCTAATGCACAAAACTTCCTTGGTTGTGTTTTTCTTACATATGTAAAGCATAAATCAGACAATTCCTGGTTCTGCAAATCAGAAATTTGCAAGAGAGAGTTTCAATCCTGGTTCCAAAATTTGAAAGGAATATGGTCCAGATGTAAAACCTATGTGATTTCTCAAGATGTACCTTGAAACCTTTTTTCTGAATTCAGCTTTTCCAGTTCAGTTCCATTTCTGTTTCTTTCTACAAATGTTCGTGCATTGATGCAGAAAGAAAGAGGCTTTTTTTTTTTTTTTGAAGAAAGGAAATCTCATAGATTGATTTCTGAGATGGTAGATTTATGCGTCTGTTAAATCTGACACAATCATTCATACACAGAAAAGATACTTGACCCTCCAGATGACTCTATCCATAGTGTTAAAATTACTTGCAGCAAGTGTCAGAAAGGCTATAGAACCAATCATTTTCCTGCTTTAAATCTGAAGCAAAAAGTTTGCTATCTTTGAAAGGGTCCTAATAAAAATGCCAATAACAAGGTTTGTGTAGGATAAGCATATTTTTTGAGTAGAAAAATAGGAGTACTTCTGTCAAGGCAATCTTCTCTAGCTAAGCTGGAAGCAAAGATATATGCTGAAAACAGAACTTCTGTTCAATATTTAATCTAGCATATTCTGTTCTTGAGATATGTTCTTCAACTCCCATGTGGTAACATCCCTAAAGGGGATCCCTGTTACAGGAATTGTAACTTTAGTCTGTGTGTTTACACTGTGTAGCCCAGTGCAGTCCTGCTCCCTGACTGTGGTTTATAAGAACTATAAATAATCAGCAGTAGCAGCAGGCTTTCAAATATAGATGTGTTTGAAATGAACTCAGATGTTTTTTCAGCCTGTCTGTATGTTCTTGTATAGTTCTTATCACAGTGTGTAAACAGCAGGTCCCACTATAAACAGAAACAACTCCTTCAGTTATATAATTGTCGGAGTGTGAAGTAAGAATTGGGTCGTTATCCTTGTACTGATCTGGTACTGATAGTGCTCAATAAAGCAGGGCCTTTGAGTCTTCTGGCAGAGTTGCTTTTCAAGGATATATGTATGTTTTCCAAGGATATTTGGCTTCCAAAAAACCCAAATGCTGACTGACATCAAATTGACTCTGAGTGATGTTTTTCCTGTGCACAGAGCCTGTACCCAGTCTGATTTAGGGGTGCCCAGTGAGGTGTGACTGAGCTCCCTGCTCCTCCATTTAGTAAGACCAGGAAATGATCAAAACTTGCCCCAGCTCCAGTCCAGCCTCTGTGTTTGGGCTTCTTTTCTATGGAAACCGGAACGTGCTAAGGGGCTGATGTGTGTTTGGGTATTGTCCAAATGTGGAGTTCATGTCTCCAGGGCAGGCAGCCGGACTCAGGAACTCTGGAGCATTCCTTCATCCCTCATTAGGCGTTGCCAACAACACTGACAATAATTAGAATGAGGGCTAGAGAAGACTAAGCTGAATGAATATGGAAGTTGGTACTAGAGACATAACGACATCGGATAAGAAAGCATAAAGTCCTTACAAACAAGAATCCATTAAGCATTTGAGAGCTAAGCCTGGTTTAATCAAATGGTGCATCAATGAAGAGATTCCACTGTTCAAATATTTGAAGGATCAGTGGGATGAAAAGACAGAAGCAGGCATTGTTCTTC